CCAAGAGGTGATCATGGGATACCAGATCGAAGCCTTTTTTAAAGTCAAGATATATGACATCAATCTCTTCCCCCTTGTCCAGGTGATAGGTCACCTGGTAATAAAAGGAAATAAGATTGGTCAAGCAAGACCTACCCACAACAAACCCGTGCTGGCTGTCCCTCAGGATGTTGCCATCAGCCAGTCTGTTAAGAATGGCCTCTTTATTAATCTTTTCCAAGACTTTCCCCGGGGTAGAGGTCAGGCTGATAGGCCTGTAGTTTGCTAGATCCACTTTCCTCCCTTTCTTGAAGATAGGCACCACATTGGCCTTCTTCCAGTCATTGGGCACTACACCAGAGCACCAGGAGTGCTCGAAGATCCGTGTCAGGAGCTGAGCTATAATGCTTGCCAGCTCGAGTACCCTGGAGTGTAGACTGCCAGGGCTGGCTGACTTGAGGTCAGCCGGCCTCAAGGTGTTCCTTCACGAGGTCAGCATGGATGGGGGGTAAGGAATCTCCTGCACCTGGGCCTCCCTGTCCCGTTATGACCAGGGGCGTCCCATGGGACTGGTGAAAAACTGACGCAAAGTACCCATTTAGCAAGTTTGCTTTTTCCTGGGTGTCAGTTGTCCCATCTGGTTTAGCAGGGGTCCAATGTTGCCCTTGCTTTTCCTCCAGCTCCCCACATATCTAAAAAAGGACTTTTTATTGTCCTTGATACTAGTAGCCAGTTGGAGTTCAGTCGCAGCCTTGGCTTTCCTGGTTCACTCCCTGCAGGTCTGGACCAGAGCAGAGTATTCCTCCTTGGTGGTGGATCCGGTCCTCCATCTTTCTTTTTAGACCCAGGAGGTCCGTTAGTTCCCTGGAGAGCCAAGGGAGCTGCTGTGCCCTTTTGCTGCCTTTCCTTTGAGATGGGATAGACTTTGCTTGTGCATCCAGGATCACTCCCTTAAGGAGCAGCCACTCGTCCTGAACTCCCCTCCCTTTTGGGTTGTGGCCCTTCGGGGCCTCACTGACAAGCCTCCTGAGCTTGTCAAAATCAGCTTTCCTGAAGTCAAGGACGTCTGTACTGCTGACTGATTTGCCAGCTTTACGGCGGATGGTGAAGGTGATCAGCTTGTGGTCACTATCACCCAGCTTCCCTTCAATCATTAGGTTGTTAATTAGGTCATCCCCCATTCCCAGTACCAGGTCGAACAGCGCTTTATTGCTCATCAGCCCATAGACTTCCTGGGTCAGATAGAGCTTGTCCACGCATGAAAGCTTTGCGACCACTTGGATTTGGCCGAGCGCTCTTCCCACAAGATGTCTGGGTAGTTGAAGGCTCCCATGACAACCATGCACCAGGAACATGGGGTCTCAGCCAATTCCCTGGTAACTCCTGGTCAAGGTCTTGATCCTGGGTAGGGGGTCTGTAGCAGACTCCCACCATTGTGTCCCCTGTGCCATGCTCCCCACAGATTTTAACCCAGAGGGTCAAAATACAATTGTTCCCTTTTGCTTGTAATGCTGCCAGATTTTTCCCAAACAACATTCATCATGCCTGCATGGCAATAGGAGGATCCCAGAGACAAAATGTTCTCCATCCCCAGAAAGTGAACAGCAACACACAAAGATAGTATAGACCAAAAGTTCTTTGTTACAATCACAAGAAGTTTTTCTGCCTCCACCACCAGTAGAACATTGTTTGGGGCAGTAAGAGGCAGTTTAAACCAAATTAAAAATGTACTTCAAGGCAGACATCATTTAAGCTCCCCCTAACACCATGTTCTCCCAGAAATGCACCTGAGGTATATCAGAATCAAATATCAAGGTTAGATATCTAATTGTGAACAGGATAGAAAGTGGTCTAAGATCCATAGATCAAATAAAAGTAAATGCTTACGTGTAAAACAGTAAAGAAATTTTGCATTTTAGTTCTCTCCTAACGCAACAGGAGCTCTCTAGACTACAGCATGAGAACCTGACAAGGGGATATACATGAAAACAAGAGATACAAACCTGATGTTGTGGTAAACAGAAAATGATTTTTAGGTAAAAAAAGTGTATTACTGGACATATAATCCTAACTGAGAACCTCTAAATGTTTAGAGTCTTCCTGTGTTTTAGGAAACTGGTTACAGATGGGGAAAAGGACACTTCCACCCTCATCAACTTTCTCCCAGTATTCACCAGGCTTAAAACTGACTCTGAAGGAAGGGGGACCAGGAAGAAGGCAGAATCACAGTGTCACTTCTCCACCCACATGCTCCCATGTGGGGGCTAGACCTAAGTGGAGCTGGATGCTTCCGTACTGACAGAACTGCATCTATCCTAGGGCTCATGGTGGCAGAGTTATTACGGCTGTGTGAAATTTCACTGAGCGTTTCATTTTGAAGCATTTTGAGCTCAAAACAGTGAAATCAAAATGAAACTAAAAGCTTCAAAACCGCTTTGAAACAAAATGAGGGCACTTGAAACGTTTCAAGTTTTGAAGCAGCCCAGTAGCGGGAGGCAGGGGAGAGCCAGGGCTGTGCTCCACCTCCCACCACCGGGCTGAGCTCCATGGGGCTACGGATTGAAGTGCAGCCCTGGCTCTCCCCTGCATCCTGCCACCAGGCTGCCCAGTGGCAGCATTAGTTTTCCCTGGCACTGGGTGCAGGTCACGCCCAGTGCTGCTCCCACGTGGCAGCTGCAGCCTCCTGTCATCCGGCACAGATCCAGGAGCTGCACCCCCAGGAGTCCAGCACAGTACTGCGGCCCTCCCAGGGGTGCAGGCCCCTGGAGCTGCGCACCAGATGACAAGCGCCTGCTGCTGCCACCATGTGTCTTGAGTTCTGCTTTTTGCAGTTTGAGGTGCAGTTTCTGAGAAACCTCTGCGCCTACCCCCTTGAAACTTGGCAGGTTTCATGCCCTCAAAAGGGGCTACCATCCCTGCAATTTTCATCTGAATCAGGCAAGAAATGACAAATCCTGATTCCCAATTATAGCCTATGGGCAAAATGTCATAATGGTTGAAACAGTGAAACAGTTTTGACAAAATGAAACGGAACAGCACTACGAAGCGAAATGACAAAATGAAACACTGTCCCTTCAAAACGGTGAAACGGACATCAACATGAAACGATGGTGTTTCACACAGCCCTATGCTTCCAAACAACGTTCAGACTGCATCCTTAATTGACAATGCTGCACCAATAAAACCTAGTGATAGACAGTCTCTTTACATAAGGGATTGCTGTTTCTGGGGCACTTTGTCTTGAAGCCTTGAATTCCTACCCCCGCATTATCACATGCCCCGCATATAGCGCATGCCTCAGACAAAACCCTTTGTAACTTTTGGAAATTAATAGGATAATTTTTCTTTTTGAGAGTTCACATGACAATCTTCCAGAAGGCATACAAGAGGAAGGCATGGGGAACCAAAAAAGAGATAAATGGAGATAGGAGGTGGGAACACGCAAACACCACACACACACACAAAAAACCTCTATAATCTCTTTGACTCACAATCTACTTTTGTGACATAAGGACAAATAAAACAACATGCAACACAGAATCATAGGGATACATAGCAGTTGAAGAAATTGAGAGGTGTGGGAGCTATACAGCTATTATTTCTGACCCCAATCACAAATTCCCTGTCCTTAAACTTAGGCAATATGCAATCCTGCATAAGTGATATATCAGGCCTAAATTTTAAAGCAAGCTTCTATAACAGGGGTGGCCAACCTATGACACACATGCCACAAGTGGCATGGATAGCCTCTCTGTGTGGCCCATGGCAGATCAGGGAGAGCAGGCAGCACAGTGGCAGATAGGGCAGGAAGAAGAAAGCAAAACAGCAAATCAGGCAGGGAGCAGAGAGGGAAGCATAAAACTGAGCAGCAGATCATGCAGGGGAAGGGGATCAGAGTAGCACTTGGGGAGGGTGCAGGGCTAATTTGTGGCATGACTGCCAAAAAAGCTTGGCTCCCAATGTTCTAGAAGGTGAGTGGAACATACCATAATTTATTAGCAGGCTCTATACATTGATCAAAAACATATTGCCTTCCACTTGATGATATGCCATTTAACTGAGATTTCATACATTTCAGTTATGCTCGTGTTACTTACCAAGCATAAAATAGAAATAAACTAATGGTAAAAAAAACACACACACCATGCTGAAACTCAAAAGTACACAATTTTATCGTTAAAGTTGAAGGAGGCACCTCTCAGCTATTGAGTTTATCTGGTAAATGTGACAGCATAAAGAGAGCTACCATGCATTCCTGGGAGGTATACAATGTGCTTTCTTTTCTTATGCCCAAGACAAGCTTTAATATACAGTTCCTCTGTGTCCTTCCATGTGTGTGATGGAGTACATAGGAAAGGTGGTAGCAGTTATTCATTAGATGCTCCAATAGTATTCCCTAGATGCTGTTCAGCTTTAAACAGTATGAATTTCTTGCAGACACCTCTTTCAATAACAACTAGTAAATATATGTATGTCCCTTTTATTAAGATGCCACTGAAGATGACCACGCAGCATAGAACTATCCTTTAAAAGACTATCAGGTTGCACAGCTGTGAGGCTTTTCTCACTTTGCCATCTCAGCACATACAAAAGTCTATTAATAATCCCAATACATTAATACTAGAATTTCTTACCTTGCAGAGTTTCAGAACCAACCAGCATGCCAGATATGCAGTCAGGCTGAATTTTGCTTTCATGTATCTGTCAGGTAAACAGGTAAGATACATTTGTACCAGATCCAGCTCTTCACTGACAACTCTACTGCCAGAATCAGGAGTAGCATCCTCCCCGGCCTCTTGTCTTCTCCGAGCCTCTTCTACGGGTGCACTTGTGCACCTATTGAACTCCATTTTAGAGCTTTTCTTCTTTGACAAAGCCCTGATCTTTCCACAGACAACTCAGGGAATATTTTTTTCATATCAGTAATTACACTCCCTGGTTTTCCAAAAGTATGTAGCTTTGTCTTTAAGCCAACCCAAAAATTAGACTATGCCGAAACAAACTTTCTTTAAACTGCATTGGCTCACTGCCTTCCTCTTATTGAACAACCTCTTGCAAATGTGTGTACAGCTACAAGATAAATATAGCACTAGCGAGGAGAGCCTTGTCATACAGCACAAGAATACTCCTGCCGTTGCCAAGAGAGGAGAGAAAGATTCCATTTATTTAAAGAGCGAGCCCCCAGTATCAGTACTCCCTTGTTCATTTTTTAAAAAAGGAAAAAGCAGTTATCTTTGAAAAAAAAAAATTTTTTTTTGCCAACTGCGCTTCCTCAGAACAAGTCCCAGTTCTGTAAGAAGGCTGTGCTCCTACGGAGGAGGGGTTTTTTTTAATTCCCAAGATTTCTAGCCACAGTAATTCATTGTCTGTGATATTGCAGATGCTGAGCTTGTGAAGCCTACAAAGTTTCAAAAGAATAAATGAGGTCTCACAGATGGAAAGGGGCCAAGACATTTTGAAATAATGAACGGCCTTTCCGTAGGCCAAAAAAGGAACAAAACATGTTAGAGATTAAGCAGTTTTCCAGCTAAACTTTAAACAGCTCGTCTCTATGCCTTATGACAGCACACATTTGTCCATGCTAACATTTTAAGATGCACTTATTATGCTCTTAATGGCTCCTGTGAAATGGCTTGATAGATGCAGGTTTAATTGTATGCAGTCCAGCAAGTTTCAATGAGACTAATAAATTTAATATTTCATTTTTATCACTGGAGCTAATTTTCACGGTAATACTAGCTATTACAACAGAAATTGCCATCCTTCACACAAGTCTTTAAACTATGCTTCCTTTTCCCTGATTCTGCTGGATGTCCAGGTAGAAATTAAAAAAAAAAAAAAAAAAAAATCCTGTGCCAATTTGCAGAAAGACCAAGTAACAGTTCTGGTGTCTTGAACCACATTGTTCTCTCCAATAGTGTGCTGGACATGAGGACCACAGGTCTCATTAGTAATTCTGGGCTACTTCTGCATACACAGCATGGTAAAATGCATTGCAATGAAAACCTCAAGGTACACTTCTGTCACCCTTAATAATGCTGAGTACTACATCCTCCCAATCCTATTGGAACTAATGAGATTACTTGTGGAATAAATGCTATCAAGAATGACAGAACCTAACCCTTGCCCTGTACAGTGCTTCAGAACACAGACGACACTAAGAGCTACAATGACACCTACAGACTAGATCCAGTTTTCATTAAAGCTGGAATAGGAAGGACAACCACACAAGAGCTCTCCCATTGTTCTGGCTAAAACATACTGTGAGGTGTCCAGCTCAGCCAGGTTACTCCAACAGATTCCACCATCACCATTTCCCTACTCTTCAAGGCTAATGGATGCACGTGGCAGAAGCTTGAGAACTGTAAAAATAAATTTAGCAGTAGCCATGTGATGCAGGTGACATTAGAAAGAAGAAAGCCACTGGCATTCCTGCAAGCAATCCCAAATGCAGATGTTAACAGCAAGCATGCTCCAGAATTCTGCAGAGCAGCTGGGGAGTATTCAAGTGGTTCTCTGCCCAACCGCGTTCTCACATTGCCAATAAAGTGTCTGCAGTTTCCCTATGATGGATCTCCTCTTCTGAATTAATAACCCCTTACCTTGTCCTGAGTTAGCTGCAGTCATTTAAAGGGATATCAGTGTTGATAAACCTTATACAGGACTCTCCCCATTTCTTTAAACAAAACAACATGCTAAATATTGATGCTAACTATAGTATCTACTGTCCAAGCTAAAGCATGCCACAATAAAGTTCTCATTCCATCTGGTAACAAACAAGCCCTCCTCAAGTCTCTTGGCAAACTCTGTGGGTGGGCCTGCACTCACCCAGGTTTCTCTCAGTACTGGTTGGAGGGAAGCACGGTAACTCCAGCCACCTGTGAGAAGTGCTCTAACTATTGCTTCCCTCCTGCTTCCCTTCCCTGAAGGTCCAGAGCTAGCTATCTTCTCTGTAAAAGGATTGTGCCCCAGCCAGTCTTCTGCATGACCAGTGCCACAACCCTGAAGTAAAAAAAAAATCAAAGCATATTTGGCACAGAAATAGAGACAGACAAAAGCCCCCAAACAAACAAACAAACAAGGGAACAGTATGGCAGCTCTGATCCTAATTTGCCTAACAACCCTATGAATGCAGTTAGATAGGCTTTAAAACTGTATGGGAGTGGTTAAAGACAAAGACCTTACACATGAGTAAAGCATCTTCCTTTTCCTCCAGCCTGTTAAGAAATGTTCACAATCCATTGTCTGTGGCCTTACTCACTAGAGGGGTTTCTACAATAGCCTCGACACTCCTCCACCCCTCCAAATGCACACACTTTCCAAAAACTGCTACCACTTGTGGTGCCAACAGCAGTAAGTCAAAGACTAGTGTACCAGCATGTAAATCCCCATTTTTCTAACCCTGCTACATGTAAACAGAATTCATTAAAATTCCAGAAAACTACAGATTATTTGCCAACACTGGCATTCCCATTATTCCTTCCACAAATGGATCTAATACACTGGTAGCACCAGAGGGAAGTGTTAAGAAAATAAAGGTACATACATAAGGCCAAGAACTAAAAATGTTGATCCTTATTTCTTTGCTCATTTGTGCCTTGTGTAGCCTCTCCCAAAATATTCTGCAGATCTGTAAATTGTTATACAAGATATGAGCCAGTGGAAAACCTAGCCCTGTATTTGCAAGTTTATAGTACCTAATCTTTTGGTTTAGTCATTGATACAGAAGTATATAATTGTATGTTCAAGTTCCATCAGAGTTTATTAGGTACATTGTATCTTTATTTCTCTAGGCACCCAGTTTAAGGCAACGTGCATATTCTCTGTGCATTTCAGAGAAGGTTTTTTTGTTTTGGGGTTTTTTTCCAGCCTTGCTTTCCAAGAAGCAGTCTTAGAAAACACTCTATTAACTGTACAAACTTGTGTACAAAAGTTACCTGAAGCGTTAAGTGCTTTCCAACCATTCTACTCAATGTGCTTTATGACAATCTTTCTGGTCACTGTTCTTCTTTAAGGAAAACTCATATATAGGCCTGTCAGTCTTGAGTGAGACCCCTTCAAGTTGATCCCCTTTCCAATTCTGACTGACCCACATTTTCTTAGTTCTTTTTTGCCCAACCAAGGTTCATAAGTCTGCACTTGTGAAGCTGTCAAGACAAAAATACATACCAGATGAATGCATACTAAATGGATTTCCAAGAAGTCAATTGCAATCCTTCTCTAGTACCACACAGCAGTAGCACATCTATTGAGACACACTGGCTTCCTGAAGTCAAACTGAGATCCTTTTTATCGTTATATACTCTTTTAGCAAGAGCCAGTAAAGAGTCATTCCATGTTTCTGCCAAACACAAATATGTTGAAAAATACCCCTAAGTCCTGCCCAAGGGTGGGGTTTCGTAAACCAGACACTTGGTTAAAAAGGATTAGCCACATCCGTTATGTTGTTCTATTTTTCAATAGTTCCTAAAGACTTCCATGGATGTTTTGTAAACACAACTGTTCTGAAGTTTTTGCTGAGGAGTGAGTTGGTGTCTTTTTATGAAGATAAACAAAAAACATGTTTATTTAATTGAAGCCCGTCTCATCAAGTGTTCTGCACTGCACAGTTCAACACTAAACCTTCCATCAAAACAAGAGACTCTATACATCTTTAGCATTTCTTCTGGCTACTTCTACAGCCTACAAAATTCACTCGACTTCCCCGCATTTAATTCATGCTCTAGTTCCCATTAAAAACTGCCTAGCTGCTCCAGCAGCACACAGATGGACACATCTTACTCTCACTGAGTGATCCAGGATCAGATCCACAGAGCTGGATGTTAAAGATACAGCCAATGCCTCTCAGTCCATTGGTTCACTGTGACACTATTCTTACCTTTGCCCTGAGAAAGAAGTTCAGAGCCTTCATAGCCACCCCTTTGGATAGATTCAGTCATAGATATCCAAGGCTGCAAATCTTTCTAAGAATCTTTACAATCCAGCTTGAACTCTTTCCGAACACATATCCTAGGACCTCACCCAGTAGCTTCAGAATCCACTCCTGTTTGAGATGTACCATTCCTTGACAGAGCTATCCAGTCTTGGCTTAAAGACTACACATGCTAAAGAATTAATCGGAAATTTGTTCCAAACAGCTAAGTTACCCACACAGTTGAAGTCCAAGTTTTATTTCTAGCCTGACTGTTTTATTTTCAGCTTCTAACCATTGATCTCATTATACTTCCTTTTGCCTAGGTTAAAGAACCGTCTGTTGGCAACATTATAGCTGCATGTAGAATGCAAGTCGCCTCTTACCCTTCTCTGAATAAACTTAAGGAAACCAAGCTTCTTTAACCCCTTACTGGGATGTGATTTTGAAGCTTGGAAAACATTCCTGTAAGTATTTTCCTAAATCTTCCAATTTGTCAACAACCTTTTTTGAAGCGTGAGCACCAAAACAGAGCACAGTATTGCATTAATGATCTCACTAATGCTATATACACAAATCCTACTTGCTATTCTTCTGCTTAAGTTTTCATGTACTGTGTTAGCCCTCTTAGCTGTGGCACCATACTGGGAGCTTATCTATTATGACCTTCAAGTCCATTCCAGGGTCATTGCAGTCCACTATATAGTCCACCTGGCATGACCTATGCACTTCAAGCCTACCTGAATATAGCTGTATTAAAACACATTATTCCAGATAATGCACTTCTGCAAGCAATGCAGATCATGTTGTATGTGGACCTGTCCCCATCATCAGTTACCACTCCAACAATTTGTCATCTGCAGTTATTACAACGGACTTATGGATTTTTCTCAGCTCCCTGGTAAAGATACTGAACAGTGTTAAGTCAACTGATTATTGAAGGGCTCTGACAAAAACACCAGTCCCATAGAAGGATGACTACCCATTTATAATTATTTTATGAGCTTATTTAGAACAAAGTCAACCTTATAATGCACCTAGGACTGCCTGGGGAAAATGAAGTAATTTATTTAAAAAGAATTCCCAACCTGTTTGAAAAGTAAGTTTCTAGTTTCTTTGTTTTT